GCTCGCTGCGGACTCCCGGTGCCGGTCTCGGTCCCGTCCGGAGCGCGGCGGGGAAAGGCGGGGGAGGGGCGGGGCGGCTCCTACGGCCGGGCCATGTGCGCCAGGCCCAGCGGCCCGCGCGCGCCGGCGCCTACCAACGCGCGCTGGGCGAGAGGGGGATTGCTGTCCCCGCCGCCGCTCCCGCCTGCCGGCGCCTTCTTTCCCCGCCGCACACGAGCGATTCCAGCGCCTTTGCCAGCCCCGGTTCGCTCCGCCAGCGGCGGCTTCTTCACCTTCTCACCCCACTGCACGCCTGCCACCCCTATCTCGTGACTGCTGTGGTTGCGCCCAAGATGGCGCCGCCTTCCATTCTACTGAGGTGGGGTCCGGCCGAACCATTTTTTGGGGGGCGCCGCTACATTTAACTGCGCTGACGCCCAGTGAAACCTCCTCCCTCAGCATACGTCGCTGCCAAGAGCTGGGCAGCAGGTGACAGGACAATGCCACGGTGAAAGGACAGCGCACTGGCACGAAACTCGCCCTACGGCCCCCCTACAATGTTTCACTATGGCTTCGCCCGATGTCAGTCGGCGCGCGCGCGGGCGCTACCAAGTTGGTGTAGAGGGGGAGGCGCGCGGTGCTCCGCCGACATCGACGCGGTTGTGCCGGGGCGCGGCGAGGGCGGCGGGTCAGCGCCCCCCCTGCGGCGGCGGGGCCGTGTGGTAGGGCCCGGCGGTAGCGCCACATCAGCCGGGCGGAATGGCGGAGCCGAGAGCGGCGGGGGGAGCTGAGGGCAGCCGCGGCCGGGCGGCTTCCGAGCGCTGTTTTATCCCACCGTGACCTTTGTGGGTTTTAAATAACATTTTTCCTGAGGTACAAGATGACAGTGGCCATGCTACGGCATCTCTGTCTGCCCCGCGAGAAGCCTTAAGGGCCGGTGACCTCCCGGTGCAGCCGGACACACAGAGCAGTGATCTGAGGGGTCACGGTGTGCGGTCCTGGCATTTTAGCGCGGTTTTTAAATGGTTTCTGAACTGAAAGCTCTCCTCTCTTTATGTTGGCTACCAACATGACTGACCTGAGAGATGTGACCCCACATTATCGATTAAAGCACCGCATTCTGTCCCGGGCACCTCAGGCTGATGAGGATCACAAAGAATACATGAAGTGTGACTTCTGCCACGATGTGTGTTTATACACACACACACACACACACACACATATATATATAGTATATATTGTACATTCAGAGTGGATACATGCAGTGTGACTTCTGTCACCATGTGTGTATATATATATTTATATAGTATATTCAGAGTGGCTCAGAGAACTTGGAATTTGCCTCGGATACCATCTTGAGGTGACAATTTTAGAGGAAAAAGTTCTCGAGTAATGGCTCATCTGTTCAAACTTAGAGACGAACACCTGCATTTTGAGTAGGATTTCTTTCTTTATCCCAATGCTTTCAATCAATCATCAAAACAGACAATGCCAGCTTAAAAAAAAAAAAAAAGGCAGAACAGGTAGTATACAGGACATTTTAAAATTAGTCATCTCTTGCAGCATCTTGGATGTTTTGAGAAGCTCTTCGGGCGGTGTTTGGGAAGCTGAGTCAGGCCAGCTGTGTAATGTTTCAGGGAGTCACACGATGGCATCCGAACTCCACTGCAGCTCCCCGGCTGAGCGTGTCCCTTCCCTGTGGAGGCAGCTCCCGTGAATGGAAACGATGACTGGCACTTGGGGCAGCAATTTTTTCCCCTCGTTACATCGTGGTAGCTGACAAGCCCCTGACTTCCCGGTCAGCCCCAGCACTGACTCTGAAGTGAACACAAAGTGCTGTTTCCTGCCATCACAGCCTTGTGTTTTTCCAAATGTGAGGCAGGACATGGTCAATCCATGGTCCCAGCTGGGTCCTCAGTATTCCATGGCTCTTCCAGGGGTGTGCATGAGCTCTGGGTTGCTTTTGTTTCACCACTCCCACCGCTGTCTCTGTTGCTGGAATGTGCAATTTCTGCAGTTGCCCTTTTTCCTGCCCTTTTTTTTTGCCTAACCAAAGGACTATGGTCCTTTGGTTAGGCCGTAGATCTGAACATTGGATTCTCCTTTCCCCGACTCTTTGCACTTTCCTCTACTTTTCAGCAACTTTTGATTTATCTGCTCTTCCTTCCTTCTCCTTTTCCTTTCTCTGTTGAAATTTCCCCTCAGTCCTTGCCCTATCTCACTGCTGTTCTTTTTTCTTCTGGCCCTTACTCAGCAATCTGAGGGAGAGTGGAACAACTTTTAAAAACACAGATTTTGGCACTGGCAGCTGAAGCCTGTTCCTTTAAGTACTCCACATGCAAAACTCCCAATCAATGGGAAATTTGGGGGAAGAAAATCTTGCAGGAAAGGCTTTTTATAACACAGCTCTCCAACCAGCAGAGCCTCATGAATTTTATTGCGTGCAGGTGATCTGAGAATAGTGGAGCTGACAGCTCTGTTTCCTAAACTGAATTCTGAAGGAGTAAGCAAATTCTTGTATGAAATTTCATCTAATCCTGACAGGACGTGCCCAGAATGACACTCTGTGAGGCAGGGCCTGGGGTAGGGATTTATTTCTGCGTTGCTTTTGTCACCTGGAACCTGCTGGTTCAGCCCCGCTCTGGTGAGACCCAGCTGGAGTCGTGCATCCAGCTCTGGGGTCAGCACAGCAAGGACAGGGAACTCTTGGAACAGCTCCAGAGGAGGCCACTGAGATGATCAGAGGGATGGAAAGGAAGGAAAGGCTGAGCAAACTGGGATTGTTCAGCCTGGAGAAGAGAAGGTGTCAGGGTGACCTGACTGTGACTTTTCAATACCTGAAGGGGCCTGCAAGAAAGATGGAGAGAGATTTTTACAAGATTTTTGCATTATTTTAAATCAAAATGGAGTAGGTTTGATTAGATATGAGGAAAAAACTCTACCCCATGAGGGTGGGGAGGCCCTGGCACAGATTGCCCAGAGAAGCTGTGGCTGCCCCAGCCCTGGAGGTGTCCAAGGCCAGGTTGGATGAAGCATGGAGCAGACTGGGATGGTGGAAGGTGTCCCTGCCCACAGAATGGGGTTGTGACAAGATGATCCTTAAGGTCCCTTCCAACCCAAACCATTCTGTGATTCTCTGATGTGTCCTTTTTTGTCTTTAGTGTTTCTTTATGCTCAAGGTTTTCCAGAAGCTTTTGCTGCAGTTACAGCAAATACAGAAGTGTTCAATAACTTACTTTTTCAATTTTTCAACTGCCCCGTTGAAAAATTATTTCTGCAATTGAATTATTTTCCGCAGTATTTTTCTTCAAGACTCTGAAGCAATCTTCAGTTGAGAATATCTTATTTATACCAAATAAATAGTTATGCCATTAGCTTAAGTACAGACCAATCAAAAATCTATAGCTGAATGAGAACATGTTGATTCCTCCATTCATTTTCTCCAAAAATGCTGTATGGGCGAAAAATCCTGCGGTGTTCAGAAGTGCTGAGCAGGCAAAACTCTGCTGGGCTGCTGTACAAACATGATTTGAAGGGCCTCTCAGCTTAAATAATGCCATGCTTTTTTAATTTTATACACAGCTTTCGTCTGCACCCACGCTCTTGGGGACTGAGCTGAAATAGCACCGAGGGAGGAGGAAAAGGAGAATCATTGACTCATTTACATCTTTGTAGCAGCACAAAAAGTTATTATTGTGGTCATAGTTACCCCTGAAATAATTCTCACTTCGTCATTTTCTGCTTTAGTTCTCTCTGCATACAGTGGAGGTGAATATTTAGCTTCCCATGATTAAGAAATATCAGGAATGTTAATTAGGGAATGCATCCAATCCTTTGGATGTTGAAAATATAAAAGTATTATTATTATGGATTGTAATGTCTCAATCTGGAGGTCCAAAATCTATTAAGTTTTTTTTTTTGTGTGTCTTATGGTGTTTTCAGGAAAATCACTGTACAAAACATGCACCCTTTTTTTCACCACTGTCAACCATGTCATTCCTGACTAATAAAGTACAGGAAGTAGGGAAAAAATCACTAATAAAATAAGAGGTGCTCATACATGGAGTTCTTGTTTTGATGCAGTTTTGGAAGGTGTATTTGCATTTCAAACATTCATATTTCTGTGCTTTTCTGAATAGCTTAGTGTTCATTTCTACCAAGTTTACCAAAAATCCAGATGCACGCAAAATATAAAAAAATACTGAGCATAAGAAACTTGATTAATCACCATGGCAGCAGAAATGCCATGGGAAAAGGAACTCAGTTAAAGAAAGTACACAAAAATTAACTTGGAGGAATTAATCTGATGAGAGGGCACAGTCTCAAGCTGTGCCAGGGCAGGTTTGGGTTGGACATCAGGAGGAATTTCCTTCGCAGAAACGGTGATCAGACATGGAACGGGCTGTCCGGGGGGGTCACGGATCCTGGAGGTCTTTCAGGATAGGGTGGACGTGGCACTCAGTGCCATGGTCTGGGTGACAAAGGCGCTGTTCGGTCACAGATCGATGATTTCAAACCCAATTGGTTCTGAGATTGTGTGACGGGAAACCCAAAGTACAGCCTCACCAGTTACCTACCTTTCCTAGCGCACAGGAAACCCTCCCTGAAGTTCACAACGCTCCTTTTCAGATTTCAAAACCTAAAGCAGTTATACTTCGGAATAATCCTGCATTAAACCCCTGAGCCGATCACCCTTACACGCTCTAAGATACTTGCGAGATGCGTTACTGATCCCGAAGCGCTTCAGAGGCGCTCGCAGCCATCCCGGCAGCGGCGGGGCCGGCTCGCTGCCCCTCCAGAGCCTGTCCGGAGCCCCGGAGGCGCAGCCCCGCTGCAATTTGACCACGTCCCCGCCGAGCCGCAGCCGGAGCCGGGCCCGGGCGGAGCCGCCGCGCCGCGGGCACCGCGCCCCCCGCGCCCCTCGCCCCCGGCCCCGCGGGAGGCGGCTCTGCCCGCCCGCCCCGCCCGCGCTGACAGGCGGGCGCTGCGGAGGAAGGGGAGGGCGGCCGCCCCGGCCTCACATGACCGCGGCCGCGATGGACGGAGAGCCGCCCGCGGGCACGGCCGCAGGTACGGGGGGATGCGGGTGCCGGGGCCGCCCCTCGGTGCAGCCGCGCCCGCCCTGCGCTGCCCGCCCGGGATCGGGGCTGCGGGGAAGCAGAAAAGCTGCGGGGAAGCAGAAAAGCTGCGGGGAAGCGCCGCCGCCTTCCCCTCTCCCCCCGGGGCAGCGGGACCCCGCTGGCCCCGGCCCGCCCGGTGGGGCTCACGGCCGGGCCGCAGCGCTGCCCTCCGGGGCCATGGGGGTCCCTCCCCGTGCCGAGGAGCGGGTAAGGAGCAGGTAAAGCCCGGGCCGCTGGGGTTACCTGCCCGGTGGCCGCCCCGGTGGCCGCCCCGGTGCCGCAGGCGCTCGGCTCCCCGCAGTCCTTGTGCGGGGCTGGACGCGGGCACGGGGCGCGGTCCCGAAGTTCTCCCGTGGGGAGTGACGCGGCCGAGCGCTCCCTCCGTGCCGCACGGAGTTCATCTCGTGCCCGCCCGGAGGCTCCGGGCCCCTCGGAGCCGGCGCGGACCCTCCCGCAGCGGGGCAGCGGCTCGGGCGGTCCCGGTGCCCCCGCTCCGAGCCGGCGCAGCCAGCGGAGCAAGCAGCGGCTCCCTGCGCTGCAGTTTTAGGAGCGTGCGGCTGGGGCTGGGATGAAGAAACTTGTAGCCAAATACTGCCACCGCTTGTTGCGAAATGAGAGATGGAGGGAGCTCCTGGGTGAATTGAGGGAATAACGTGTTAGACTCCTTCAGCTGTTAAACTGAAGGAAACTTTTAGAGGGTTCTCTGAAGTTCTCTTTGAAGTGGCTGAACTTTTGTGCCTGCTCTGTCCATAGTATTTTTTTTTTTTTTTTTTTGCTCAGTTTGGAAAGAAAAGTAAGTAGGTAAGCTTAATGCATAGAAAAATGGTTTGGTTGATTGTATTTAGAATCTTGTGAGTTTGCACTTGTTAGGCCTGTGATGTTCCTGATGCAGATAATGCTTATAAATAAATTATTTTGGAATATTTCTGTCCAGGACTGATGTAACATATTGAACAGCAGCCTTTGTGGAAAAAATGTCCTACTGTACCAAAGAGAGAGCTTGTTCAGGTATGTCTGTTATGGATTTACCATCTGCTTCAGGAGCCTTATAGAGATAAAACAGTTGTCTCCAAGTAGAGTATTCTTGAACTGATTAACTTCTGGTGATGGTGCTTCTGTACCTTTCTGATCTACTCAACCTTCTTGAGAAAACCTGGTTTTCTTTGGCACAGAATTTATGATGAACACTGAGAGAGGGTACATAATGATTTTGGCTAAAGAAAAATAATGCTGTGAATGCAGCAATGGTTTTTTTTTATTTTTAGCATCGTGATGCAGGTTCAGAGATCTTTGAAGTCTCACACCCACATGTAATTGTTTTTGGAGACCAGCAGCTTGTCAGTGAAATGTCCAGAGCAGAGTCCTGATAGGTATCACTGATGCTCCCCTTTGAGGGCCCATAGAAATGCTGTGGTTTTGATTTAGCAGTACTAAAAGTAGAAGTACTTTAATACAATCGAAGAGAAAAGAAAAAAGGATAATGTCCAGCTTGTAAAGTCAATTCTGCAGAGTGGCTTTTATTGACTTTTTTTTTTCTTTTGGTTTTACTTCCATTTGAGTCTGTTTTGCAATAGTTGCAGGAAGGTAATTCAGGTGTTGGCTGTGTAGGGAGTGAGGTGTCTCCTTTTCTTCTGATGGTAAACCTTTAACTCTGTGTTCAGCCTGTGGGAAGGCTGTACAGCTTGCAGACAATATAACTTGCACATGACCAATGATTTCCCCCCCCAGTCTTCAAGTTTTATGGGTTGGTGCAGGTTGAGGGAGAAAAATTTACCAGTTGCAGGCACGTGGAATTGATACAAAAGGAGGAAAGCTTTAATAATTGTTTTTCAACAGGATTTGGGATAAGAATGAGCTTGTTCTAACTATAAAATGTGTGAAAAGACCATTGAGATCCTGTAGGGTCTGGAGTGGCAATGCCATTTTTAATGCTAACATCAAGCATAATCAGGAGAGTGAGAAACATGTAAGGAAAATGAGAAGCAAAACAAAGATAAACTATTTATTTTCATGGGATATTCTTGACCTCCATAAGGACGGTTGGTTGTGGAAACTTGCCAATTTTGTAGTCAGGCTAAAATGTCCTTGTGAAAGTTTCCCAGAGTAGTTGTTTGGGTTATTGCTTGCTGGGTTACATTTTTGGGTGTGAATTTTTACACTTCCAACCTCTTTTGAAAAATGATAGCTTAGCAGTCATCCACTGAGCGCTGGGAACCAGCCCTAGTGAGCATTTGACTTTTTGTCCCTGTAATCTTAGGGCACATTCCTCGTTGGATTTTTCTCTGCTAATCCTGTTATTTCTTCAAAGTAGCTGCATCTCACTTTATTGTGTTTGCTGCAGCTGGGGTCTGTGGCTCATGGCTGACTTGTGAATGGAATTTGTGTCCCTTGGATGCCCAGACTTGGGGAGTCAGATGAATCAGTTGATGATCTAACAGCATAGTTAAAAGAGCAGGGCAAGAGGCTTAAGGTTAGTTCTTTACACACAGTAAATCTGTGTGACAAGTTGGTGTTGGGGTTTTTTCTGCTGGAGTGTGGGATTGTAGTAGTTTGAGAAGCAGCAAGAGGCCTACAGCTGCAGGGGACTGCAGAATTTCAGGTGCTTTTTAAATATTACTAAAGAAAGCTTAAATAGTCTCATCTATTTTTGAGTTGAGGCATAACTTCTCTGTTTCATCTTTAGCAGCACCAAGTGCTGAATAACTATCTTAAACTTACTTGGAAAAACCACCAAAAACCCCTTCCCAAACAAAAACCAAACTACCTGCAACACTAAAAAAAGGGGAACTAGGAAAACCTAACCAAAGAAAAAAAACCCACAAAACCCAGTCTAACCAGTGCAGAGTACATACTTGGCATCTGTGGTGGTGGTGTTTTGGTTTTTTTAAAGGAGAAAAACAAAATGTTGGAGCCTGTTTCCAGCATCTAATTTTATGATAGTGTGTGCTATTTTATCTTGTTTTGACATTGTGGGTAGCTTGTATTTACATGGGAATTGTTGGGAAGGAGAAGGCAGGAGACTCTTAATTAGAGTGAAGCTAAATATGATAACTTTTCTTGTACCCAGTAAGAAATACAGACCTGCTTTCCATGTTGAACACACAGCTGTGCAGCACTTAGCTTTGTTAGATTGATTATTTTGCTTTTCTCCTTTTGAAATAAGAATTGCACAGTTCAAAACAACCCAAACAAGTTGTGTGCAGTTGTTTCAAAAAATCTTTAAAGCCTTTAATAGGAAAAAAGTTTTGTTTGCTTTTTTTTGGTGGTACTTATGTTGGTTTTTTTTTTTGTTTTTTTTTTAGGGGGTTTCAAGTTATGCAATATTTTAAAAAATGAGAACTAGATTGGGAGTCTATTTGAATTTGTAGTTGAAATCCGCACCAGTTTTCAGGGAGGCTGATGTGGATGCTGGATTCTGGAATTATGGAGGAATGTTTTTGACCTGGTAAGGGGGAGAGGCATTTCCATAATTCCTGGGGCTTCTCATGAGAAGACAGAAAGGAAAGGGAAATGCTGATGAATGATATTTACATTGCTGCTTTAGTATTCCTGGCCCAGGAGTTGGTTGTGGAGCCCTCACTTTTTCCAGGGAGAAATCTGAGGTATCTGAGGTGTACAAAACCAGTCAGTTTTCATATTTCCTGTGGGTTGGATCCCCTCTGCTCTGCACAGCTGTGGCTTGTGATGATGGAGGAGAGATCTGAGCTGCTTTTCCTGAAGGTTTTGCTTCCTTACAGGCTCCTTTCTCCTTCTAGTAAAAATGCTACTAATATAATAAGTAATTCTGTGGCACCATCTACTTAAGCATGTCTGATAAATGTATCTGATTATTGCCTGGTGTAATAAGGAGTTGGTAGCATCAGCCATCTGTAAAATGGAGATAAGGCCTCCAAATTTGATTGACAGAGCTTAAACAGGGAAGGGAGATCAATGTTGTGATTTACCACCTGTGCTTCCAGCCCTGGCATTGCTCACCTGGGTGTGCTTACTCACATGTGAAAACTCTGTGCAGCTATCCAGGTACTTGGAATTTTGCTCTGGCTTTCATAAATGCATGATTTTGGAAATTTGGGTGGAGGAAACTGCTAACTCCATGGAAGGCAGATTGCTGCCCAGTTCTATCAGTGGAGTAATGAATGTTGAGCACTAACTAAAGCATGAAACGCTAACTAAAGCATGAAGTAGAGAAATTTTCTATTGCAGTTTTTCTCTGGGTAAGTTTCTCAACTCCCTTCAGTCCAAAGGCTATCTGACCTGTTGCAAAAAAAAAAAAAAAAAAAAAAAGTATTAGGCAGTGTTTTCATAGCTGTTTTCTTTTACAACCAAACAAAAACTAGGCCATGCTTTGAATGCTTCTTCAAACTTTTAGTTGTTGTCATCTTGTTGTCTTCATGTTTGCATATGTATGTTTGTATGTATTATTTTTAACTTTTATATCAACTTGTTTTCAATTGTATCAGGCCACTTCCTGATACCTTATTGACAACAGATTGAGAATGTGCTGTAGCAAAGGCCTAGCTTGTAGGAAAAAGCTCATTTTTATTTTGTCTGCTTCCCAGTGTTCCAGGGGAACCATTCCATACCTCCTTTCTGTATCCACTTGCTGCTGTCTCTATATAAACTTTACTAGATGATGATCTGCTGAAACCAAAGGGAATGTTTTCAGAATCAGCTGTTGTGCACAGAGATGCGTGATGGGGAGTGTTAAGTGTTCTGTTACAATGCATGTAAATCCTTTTACTGGCTGAACACAGGAGCTCATACCAATGAGTTCCCACTATTATCCACCATTCCTGGCCAGGGCTCTTGAGGCTGTTCCCAAATAGGCTCTTTAGTAAGTAGAATGAAAAATGGGCTGAAGAATAGCTCCAGTATATGTTGCTCTGTAGGGTTAGTGTTAATGCCATGATAAGCATTTCCTAAAGCAGGTTAACAGCTGTTCCCAAGTCATTTTACTGTGTTCTCAGAGCTGTGTTTGTGGGTGTAGATTCACTCTGTCTTGTTAGCAGACATGCTGAGGTTATTAATTAAACAGTAATTATTCAAACTTGTTTGCATGGTTGTCTGGTTTGTGTGATTTCACACATTTAGACAAGGTTGAGATGTAAAGAAGCTACAGAATATTTCAGGGAGAGCCAAGAGTGTGAACTGCTGATAAAGAGAAGGCATGTCCTGTAGGTGATTTTTAGAAAGCAAATTTAAAGAATAATTTGATAAAAACTGGGGAGAAATTACCAAGAAAGGGGCAAACTGTGGATTCTTGCCTGGTGGGGCATCACTCTGTGGATGTCTTACTGGGTAATGGGTTCAGACCTGTAAGGAACTCCAGAGCCCTCAGCATTAGTTTGGTTCTGGGACTTAAAGGTGAAACAACGAGGGTTTCATGGTTCACCCTATACATCTTTTCTCCTCATACCTGTCTCTTGCCTTTGGGGTTTCAGGGGTTAACCAGACAATGCTGAGCCCAGTTCAGGGACAGGTTTGTGCTGTTTGTGTCCAGCAGAAAGATGGGAAGCAGAGACAGTGACCCAGTAGGCAGGAGGAGATGTTGTGTTAGCACAGATTGGCACTGCTTGGGGAATTATTTGGGGTGCATTTTGAGTAGCCCCCTTTGGGGGAGGCCCCTGCAACATCAGCCAGTGGCTGAGCATCACAGAAAGCTCTGGAATTCTCTGGGGGGAGGTTTGTGTGTGCATTGGAGGAGTAACAACATCTGCTGTCCTGTGTTGCATTTTACTGGTGTGTCTTGAGCAGTTAAACCCAAGAATTACCAGGGTGGACACCCAGAGAACTGCTGCTCTGGAAATCCAGGATACCTTGTGCTCTACAGGTGTTGTGACTTCATCCAGCAATATCCCATGTCAACATTGCAGTAAAATAATATAAACTAATTCAAATTTCTGGCAGGTAGCTGGAAATCTTTAGGAGCTGCTGCATAGGTGGGGTTAGCAGCTGATATGTCTATTAAAGCAGAGGTGTTAAGACTTGCTTCTCTGAGTCACATTAGCAGGAATCTGAAGCCTGATGAGGCATGAGGTCATTTGTCCTGGATTTAGTTTGGTTTCATTAAGTAATTTTATGGAGCAAATAGCCCAGTGTCTGTTATGAAGTGATAAATCTGAAGAATTAAAGATTGCTTGTTTTCCCTGTTTATCAGGGCCTAGGGCACATGAAGGAGCAGGTAGGAAATCCTTATCAGGAGGAGGTCAGGGCTTTCAAGTTAAGGCTATGACTTCTTATCTTCCTTGAGTTAATCTGTTACCCAGTTAAGAACTTTTTGAACTCTGAATCGAAGCTGAAAGAAATGCTTCTTGCTTCTGTACTGTTACTGTGTTCTCCAAATTGCAGATATATTTAAGAACTTCTGCACAATGGCAAGGAAGGGATAATGAATCCTACCTGGCTTTTCCAGGTACCTTTCATCATGGATATGACTTGCTTTATAAAATAGCTTGTTCACAGTATGCCTTTTACAGAGAGGAAGCAACCCAGCTGCTCCAGACTGGAGAGCAGAACTCAGATATGGAGTGGACAGAGCCCAGGGTTGTACCCTCATTTTCCACACTATTTCCTATGTGTGGAATGGGTAGAAAAGAAAGGATGGCTTTGAAAAACAATGTAAGCTTAGTTTACAGTCACATAATAGATGCAGTTATGAAGCCAGGGTGAGATAACAGGCTGCAGTCAGGCACTTGGTAAGAGAACACTGAGTCATCAGCTTTGCCCCTTCTCTGATGCCATTTGTCCTCTGGGGCCACATTCTTAAGAGCCATCTTCTTTCACTTCTGCATCTGAGAGTCAGTTACTGTCCAAAGCTGCCCAGTTATGGTCAAATTCACTGTCAAAAGCTGTTTGTTTTCTAGCTACAAGCAATGGAAGAGAATAGGTAAGTTTGAAAGATTTTGTCACAGCTTGCTGTGATTGAGGAATTCTTGGGGTGGGAGCCCTTATTAGGAACCTTTTCCCTCTGCTTTGGAACTTAAGTATGTTGACATAGTAAATTATTGTAATTCACACTCTCTGTAGCATATTGTCATAGAGTTTAATAAAATTATGTCAAATGAAGTGTCTCCTTCCTTTGTAATGATGTGCAAAATTAATGGATTAAATTTCTGCAGCGTGCTAGAACGACACATTTTTCTTTCCTTCCATGAGTTGTTCTAGGCAGGATCCAAAAGTGCTGAGCAAGGGTTTCATTCATTTTGGCAGATCCTGCTGTGGTGGGAGCTGGACAGACAGGAAATGCAGGCCTCTTAGCTGATTCACAGAACAAATTTGGCCTGTGATTCTTTGCTTAGTGGAGATGTCTCTGACTCGATATAATTGGTGGTGCTCCTGGGTGTTGGGAGCAGGGAGGTACCAGTGATGTGAACGTGTGAGAAGCAGCATAACCTCCCAGGGGAGTGGCCTGGCTGGGCTTCTGGTGGTGTTGCACCACTCTGGCAGCACCAAGCAAAGGAACAGAATATTTTAGGGCTACTTCTTTTACTATATCTTATCAGGTCTATTGTTTTTTCCCTTTTTGTCTTGTAGATTTGGCAAAGCCTCCAGTAAATGAACCAAGGGAAGCAGAACAGTTTCTAATGCAGACGCCCCAGGGAAATCCACTGCTGCTTTCCCACACCCTACAAGAGCTATTGAGCAAGGACAGCGTGCAGGTGGAGCTTATACCTGAGAAGAAGGGCCTTTTTCTGAAACATGTGGAATATGAAGTTTCCAGCAAGGTAATGTGAAGAAGCTTTGGGCTTGCTGAGAATGCATCCTCCTAAAAATGTCTGTGCAGTTTCTGCTGGCAAAGTCCTGAGTGATTTAGATGTGCTGAGTGATGCTGGTTTTAAGCAGACCAGTTGTGTGGGCTGATTTTTAATGCAGCAGCACTGGGCCTTCCTGACGTGGGCCTCTGCAGCTTGGACCATCTAACTGAGCTGTGAAGGATGGTCTGCAAGTTCACTTGCTTGAAAACCTGAGCTCTGTACCAGAGCAGGCGACAATGGAAACGGAACGGTTTTGTAACAAACTGGCGTAGATAGCTGAGAATTTCAAACTGATTTGAGCTAGTGAAGAAATTCTATTTACAGTGCAAAAAAAAAAAAAAAAAAAAAGGTTGAGGTGCTGCTGTGTAAGCTGTGCATTGATTTATCCCCCCTGGTTAATTGCAGAGGTTCAAGTGCTCGGTGTACAGAAGATACAATGACTTTGTGGTGTTCCATGAGATGCTGCTGCACAAGTTCCCGTACCGCATGGTGCCTGCACTGCCCCCAAAGAGGGTGCTGGGAGGTAAACCTGCATCTGCTTTTTGGGCTGCAGGGGGTTTGCTTCATGCTGCAAGTGTGATACTGTTGAAAAGGAATGTTTAAAAGATTGAAAGTCTTGGCTTCTGCTTGCCTCAGACAACTTAGAGAATATTTGTTCAGGTGGTCAGTCTGAAAGGTCTGGGAGCTGACAGACTATAGGTATCCATTCTTTGGTTTTTGCTGCAGTGCTTTCTTTTTTCTTTCTGAGATGTCATGTGAGGGACATTAGCTGAAATCTCCTGTTTCTTCCTGCAGCTGATCGTGAGTTCATAGAATCGAGGAGGAGAGCGCTGAAGCGATTCATAAACCTGGTGGCTCGACACCCCCCCTTCTCAGAAGATGTGCTCTTGAAACTCTTCCTGTCCTTCAGTGGCTCAGTGAGTGTTTGTTAGCAATAGTCCTGAGCTTGCAAGTCTTGCTGTAACTGCCACAGCGTTCAGGATTGCTGTTAACCTGCATGGCTGTGCTCCCTGGGAGGAAGAGAATTTTCTCTCAGTAGGTGTTTCCACAGTGGAAAGTGGAAGGTAATTTCACTCAATGCCAGGAGTGTAGTATTTTGAAAATTATAACTGTTCTTAGGCAGAGATTATGCTTTTCCTTAAATTAAATCTAACCTGGGTAAAGCTGTATCTGCTGATATAATATATCTGAGACTTGCATGAACTGCCTGTGTTTTTTCATAGTTCCTTCATGCTCATTTGATTCTATATTTTCTCCAGGATGTACAGAATAAGCTAAGGGAATTGGTCCAGGGAGTAGGAGATGAATTTGTGACTTGCAGATTAGCTACCCAAGCCAAGGTACGTATATGAATTTCTTGCAACATTACTTTGCTTTAAATGGCTTTCTTCTCCTGGTGCTTCAGTTATGGCATTTTTGCAGTGATGGACACCTTAAGTAGGAGACATTTGTTTCCAGAGATTGAAGGACTTGTAATTTTATTGAAAAGATCAAATAAACTTTTGACTCTTAAGGGCCTGATATTTCTTGCTAAATTCTGGCTCATGAATATGATATAGGTTAAACAATGAATCCTGCTCAGAACAGTTTCTCTGTAATTACTTGCACTTGCATAACAAACAAATGCACAAATTGCACAATTTAAAAGGTAATGTCTAGATTGATGTCTTTCCCTTGTGCTCATGCCCTCATTCTGTCTTGTTCTCTCTCTGTGGGAGAGCAATTTGGACTGTTATGGAAAAGCTAGTTATAAATTCTCCATATATCTGTTTATCCCAGTGATTAGTGCTATGAGAAGTTTTAAGTACACATCCACTGTGTTCATTGAGCAATTTCAAAGCAAGTTGTTGTTCAGGTTCCTGCAGTGCTTGCAGAAGGTTTTGCAACTGGAGCTTAATTCAGGCTTTTACCAGTGATAAACTGGTCAAAAAAAGCTGAACTTTCAGTTCGTGCTTGACTTTACTGGGCTGGGAGTTACCAGTTGGATCAGATCAGAACTTGTGAGCTTGAAACCTCACATACCTTCTTTTAACTACATAGGAGAATTGCAGATTTTGCCAATTCTATCTGTGCTGGGCATTTGAACCCCTTTCTACCTCTGAAAATGAGGGCTGTTTGTGTGACATGTGACTTGGCCACCTCAATGGCAAACTGATCTCTGCAGAGTTGTTAGAGCACAGTGGGAGAGCGTGAGCACGGGAGGGAAGCCTGTCCCTCTCTGCAGCCTGTGGTGTGCCTCTGATTTATCCACCAGTAATCCCTCTGTACCCCTCCTTCAGGACTTCCTCCCAGCTGACATTCAGGCCCAGTTTGCTGCCAGCAGGGAGCTGATCAGAAATATTTATAACAGTTTTTATAAGCTCCGGGACCGTGCGGAGAGAATCGCTTCCCGAGCCATCGACAACGCCTCCGACCTCCTCATATTTGGGAAGGAGCTCAGGTGGGTTTGGAGGAACAGGATTTGCTGATTTCTCCAGTTGGTTTGGAACTCAAAACTCTTGTAAAGTTTACCTGCAAATGGTCTGGTAAAAATGAATGTTTTAGTGCATGCTGTAGGACATAATCAATTTTCCTTCTATAAAAGAAGGAAATACACACTTTTCACTAAGGCTGCACTCCTTGGAGTGTGAGGAAAGAAAACAGAAATACCTTCACATTCAGGTACTTGTGTTATTGTCTCTCTCCCCAGTATGTGCACAGTTAACTCTGCATTTGAGATAGGACAGTAGTAGCTCAGCACTGTGGGCTATTTAGGCAGATTTGAAACTGCTCTCTCAAATAACTTTATCTGCTCAGTGGAATTTGTCTCCTAGATGTGACCATTGCTTTTCTCCTTCCAGTGCTTTGGGCTCAGACACTACTCCACTTCCTTCCTGGGCTGCTTTGAATAACAACACATGGGGGACTCTGAAACAAGCCTTGAAGGGTCTGTCTGTTGAATTTGCACTTCTGGCAGATAAGGCTGTGCAGCAGGTGAGTCCTTTACTTTTGTCCTTTTTTTTTTCTCCTTTTTGTAACATGAATGAAGTACACTGCTGCCCTAAATTTTATCTTGAATCATGAGTTCTGTGGACATAAGCCCTTCAAGAGTTAAGAGGGAGATTGCAGTCCAAACTCACATCCTCAACTAACAGCCTGCTTGTTCAAGCTTGTGTGAAATACCTGGACTGTGTTTAAATGGGGAAAAAATGTAACAGGCAAGGGAAAGGAAGAAAAAACCTGCTTTCTTTCTTAATGTTAAATGGTTACTGCACACATTAAGCTCACTATTAGGGTGAGCTGTCCGAAAGTGCCATGTTCCATTTTATTAATCTGCCACAGAGAACCCAGAATAACGTACTTCTGAATCAAATTTTCATGCTCATGTACTTAAACATTACATGAGAATCATTCAGCATCACATTCCAGTCTAAGTGCACAGTGTGGTAATGGCTGTCAGAATGATGTGAGAACACGACAGTCTGGGAAGGAAAAGTAATAGTTTTGTCTTCAGTGCTCTTCATCTCATTGTGTTAAAACAGTCAGTGTGCTTTTGTAGATCAGTCAGGCCAGGTCTCTTTCTCAGGAGTTTATGCTCCAGAGAGCTCTATTGATACAAGAAGAAAAGAGTATTCTATAAAATAAAAAAATGGCAGTGAAATTTGTCTTGGTGTCTCATCTCTGCCTTCTGATGCATGAACTGTTATGGGGAACATGCAGGTATTCAGAGTTTTAATGGATTAGTTATCTTGTAGGAAGGGAAGATGAAAGATTGGAGCAATCTGCAAGAGCAAGGAATTCCAGGCAGAGTGTGCTGAAAGGACTGACATGCAGGCCTGTGAAACCAACTCCTCTCGTTCTAATGATCAGTCAGTTGGAAAAGCTGTTCCTGCCTCAGTCAGGTCTTTGTTCTGCACACTGAAGACTAAACACTCCAGTGCCATTGGAGAGATTTTTGATGCAGTTGTGTAAGCTCTGATGTGCCCTGGAGAGAGCAGTGAGAGCCTGCGTGGTGTGGGGGGGTGAAGGGCTGTGATGCCAGGCTTACGTAAAATGTACTTTTTCCTTGTTTTCTAGGGTAAACAGGAAGAGAATGATGTGGTGGAGAAGTTGAACCTTTTCCTGGATTTACTCCAGTCCTATAAAGTGAGCTCTGCTGTTCTGCCAACAAGAAAGTTGTTTAGAGCAAGTTTGTGCTCTTTAGAGGGTGTAACGCCAACTGGATGGAAAACTGTCTGTGAGGCCAGTTCAGAGGCAAACTGGGCATCTGGCAGAGGCAGGGGAGTGGCTGTTGGCCACAAGGAGCTCTGTAGCCTTCCTGATAGCTCATCTGATGATGAGAACTTGCCAAAGAGCAAACTCTGCAAGGAATTTAAAAACATGACTGGTTAAACTGTATGGATCAGCTAACTTTTTCGTTTTAGATGTGGCTGCTTTTGAGTCAAAGCAGTGAACTAGATTGCTACTGATTTGGTCATGGAGACATGAGTTCAGTTATGAATGAAAGGATTTTGTTAATACTAATCTTCTGGTCAGCTGTATGTGGCAGCCTCTCCTGACATTCCCAGGCCAGGATTGAATTTGAAGTACTTGAGCCAGCACTTTAATTAATTGCCAGCACTTAGTACTGAGAAGGTCAGAAAAGATAAGAGGCCTGATAAGATCCAAAATGTTGGCAGAAGTGATGCTCCAGGTTGACTCTTAAGCTCACTGGTCTGGGTTCAAGCAGTTTTGTTTCTTAAAGTCTTAGCTACTGGCATTTTTTGACCCTCTTGAAAACAAAGGAGGAGAAATCTGTAGCATAGAAATGACACAAAATGCGACCACACCTGTGTGCTCCTGATGTACTTGGCTGTGTGTGTGCTGACTCTTGGCTCCACTGCTGTTTTCTTTTCCCATAAAGGACCTGTGTGAAAGGCACGAGAAGGGGGTGTTGCACAAGCACCAGCGAGCCTTGCACAAGTACAGCATGATGAAGAAGCAGATGATGAGTGCCACTGTGCAGAACAAAGAGCCAGAATCGGTGGAGCAGCTGGAGTCTCGGATTGTGGAGGTAGGGCAGGCAGAGCAAAGGGTGGGACTGGGCTCTGATGCTGCTGCTCTGGAACTCAGTCACATTTGCAGACAGTTTTTGGGTTGAAAGGGTAGCCTGTACTTTGGGAAATCTGTGCTCCCCACTGTGCCACGTGGAAAATGTGTTGGTTTTCCTCAACACTTGTTACTGGGTCTCAGGCAGCACATCACTTGCAGGAGTTGTGGGAAGCATCAGTCTGCATAATGGAAAGGGCGATTCCTGCTGTATCAAATGGGTTCAGGAACTGCCTTTTTGGGGTTTTGGTATGTGTTTGGATTGCTGGTATGGGGAGGAATGCTGTTTTCTCCTGTTTCTCCTTTTCCCCATCCTCTTCCTGGTCACTGAGTTCCTCTTCTTTCAGCAAGAAAACGCCATCATAACCATGGAGCTGCGGAATTACTTCTCCCTGTACTGCCTGCATCAGGAGACACAGCTCATCCACATCTACCTGCCTCTCACATCTCACATTCTGGGGGCCTTTGTCAACTCCCAGATTCAGGGTCACAAAGAGGTGAGTTCTAGATTGTCCTTTTTCTCAAAATATGAATGAGAATTTGAATGGATTTGTTTTCACCCATTGGCCTTCATCCTCTAATCATTTGTGCAGTTGGGCTCTCTCATAGCCTAGGAAGTTACCTGAGGTTTTTCCAGTTTGGGGTGAGGATCAGGGTTGGCCTCTAACCCCTCTAAAAGATGGTATCTTCCTGCAGCAAGTTTTTTTTTCTTCTTTTCTTCTCTCATCTGTTGCTGGCCCTACCCTGTGAGTAGTTGAAAAAGACCCAACCATTCAATCTCTACTCTGTAATGAGTGATGTGTGTTTGTTAGATTAATGTGGTTTTTTGTTGAGCTACACAACATATTGTATGACAAGAAAACTTTCCAGGTTTTGCTCTAAAACTCAGAAGCTCCCTTTTGTTAAACCCTAAACATGGTCTTTAATATTCCCATATACAGACTTTTTTGCTTTGGTTATATTAAAAAAGTCTTGTCTCCTTCAGCTCCCTTCCATCCTTTCAGTGAAGGAATTTGATGAAGGGAAATCTCCCTTCCATACAGGCTCAGGAAAATATACATGGAACTTCACTGGTCTGACAGGAATATTCTGGGTCCACTGAACTTCCTGAAAATACTTCAGCAAATTTGTTGTCTCTGTATGTCTGAGACTGCTGCTAAAATTCCATGTGGTGAGATTGTTACTTGCTGTGTGGTCATGTCTGCTTTCTCTCCTTCTCCACTCACAGATGAGTAAAGTTTGGAATGAATTGAAGCCGAAGTTGAGCTGCCTTTTTGTGGGATCCAGCAGTATGCCAACTCCACCACTGTCACCTCCAGAGGGAAACTTCTTTTCCAATTAACATTCCAAGCATCCCACACGGAGCAAGAAGGGCAATCAACGAAGGGGTGGGACCTCTACCTCCAATGAATCCTCCAAAACAGCTATTTTTATTTTTATTTTTTTTTTAATATTGCTGCTTTGAGCTGCTCTCTGATTTAGACAGACTGGATGTGGGGCAGAACATATGGATATAGAGACAATTTTGTAATTTTGCAATGCCCTGGGGCAGAGCTGATGTTCATTCTCCTGCAGACACTCCTCATGGGGTCGGGACAGGGCCTGCACAGCGAGTGCTGCGGGGTTTCTTGTTGCTGAGGCCTCTGCATCTTGTACTAACAGTCCTCCACTCGTGTTTATCTGCAGCTGTGCTGACACATCTCTGCTGGCACGTCTCTGAAGTGCTGAGATGAACAGGATAGCTGAAGCACTTGCTTGTAGTGGAGATAAATTGCTTTTTATGCCTTGGAGGGCCTGTGTTAGGGATGTGTGTGCATAAGGAAAGCTGAAAGCCATCCCCCATCCCGTTGTAGGTGTCTGGATTTGATTTCTTCCTGCTAGACCTTAGCACAAAATGAATGAAGTGGTTGGATTTTGTAACCCAGCTGGGCAGGGGTCAGTGCTGCTCTGTGACAGGGATTTTCCTGATGGTGCTGGATGGACTGGATTGTCAGTTTGTTTCCCTTCACGGTTGAAGGGCATTCTGGGGACTTGCTCATATTTTTCAGTTTGGGGCCAAAGACAGCTGGGTTCAGGAACTCAGAGGAGTTTGCCTGGCATAAATGAGAAAATAATTGACTAAAACATTCCCTAATTGTAAACCACTTGTACTACAGGAGCAGAACAGCTACAGGGTAGCTTGTTTATTTCTTCTGGAGGTTCTGACCTCCATCTGGTGAGTAGCTGCTCAGATCTGTTGGAGAGCTGCTGACCCAAAGGCTGGTGTTTTCTTTGGTGTAATATCAGAAGTATCCTGCTGCACCAGCAGGCTGGAACACAGTGCTGATAAAGTTCATTAGCAAAAATTCAGTATTATCAGGATGTTACTGTCATTCTTCCTGGCTGTGGGTAGCATTGCAGTATGTTTGTTTGTGAAGGAAAGTAGATGATTAAGTAAAAGTTCTCATCTCTAAAAACACCACAGCCCTTGGTAATGGGGTTTTCAGAATGGTTTGTGGTTGTGATAAAGGGAGTAAACATTCCCCACTTTGCATCTCCAGTGGCTTTGCCTCGGGAGGCAAAGGGGGAGAACGTGCATGTTGTGTTACCTCAGGGGAAATGGTGCACATCCTCCAGAGAAACTGATAATCAAACTGCAAACGTCTGCAGCAAAACTCTGTGTGAACAGGACTCCCTGGACCTGACTTCTCTGGGGCCAAAATAGCTTCCAGAGGGGAATTTGTGACTTGGCTTCTTAGCATTTTCCTCGAATGGGTAAAAAAGGAAGCACATTAACAAGGATGCATGCTTGCTGTTCATCAGAATCATTACAGTGTTTTCCCACTGGGGAACTTCCCCATTATCAGGAAGTATATTTAAATCCTCCAATCACAAAAGCTTTTTTTGATTTGATTTTTTAATATAGAAATTTCAGTGCAACATGAAACTCTTCCGAGCCCAGATGGAAATTCTGGATTAGTTTCTTCAGCTAGGAGCAAGATAAGTTATTTGCCCAGTTTCAGGAGACTGAATAACCATTACTCACACTCCTCAGAATGGAGTAAATACACTGCTATGGGTGAACTCCTTGAGTGCTGGGCCTTAAGCAGTGTGTAGCCAACCTTGCACAGATTGCATTAAAGAGCTTTTTCCAACAATTCAAATGTTAACTCACTTTCCTCCTGCACATGGGTCTTGTCCAGTGAGACAGATGAACTGCAAATGGCTGTGACAGATTTGATTCTCTCCTGGAGATTTCCTAAGTGATGCAGAAGAAATTCTGCTCACAAGCTGGAGCAAACTGTCAAGGGAGGGAAACGTTTCTACAGTCCAGTTACAGAGAAGATATCATCTCAGGCATGGTACAACAGGTTTTTTCTGCTTGACCTTGTCTTGATTAGAAAGATGGTTTGTGGTTAAGTGTGGAAAGTGTGTTACCAGACTTTTCCATGCTCTTCACATTAGCAGAAGGTGCTGGCTGGTTATGGCTGGCTTAGTCTCAGCACCCATCCTCCCTCACTTGTTTGCCTGATGTGGTGAACAGTGAAATTGAGAAAATACTGTATGTTTTGGGGAAAGATCTGATAATTTATGATGGGTCTCATGAGTTACTTGTTTGACTGGGCAGTGTTCTGTAGGAGTGCTTGCAAAGGACTAGCCTGAATGGAACTTTGCTCTTCTCACTTTTAGAAAAACATTACAATTTTGAACTTGATTTAAAATCAAAAAACAACCCCCCAAAAAGCAAACATCAAAATGTCATTAGGGCTTTAGACTAACTCCTCTTTCCTGTTTGCCTTCAAGCACAAATTGTACAGTCCTAGTGCAGAGACTGTAACAATAATAGACACACCACAGGACCTATAAAGAAACTGAAATGGTCTTGTTTTGAGAAACACCCCATTCCTCCATTGTCAGACCTTGTGTCTTTGAGGAGAGTTTTGGGGGTGGGCTTTTCTTGTTTTGGTTTTACTCTGTTCACCAGGTATTTGAGAACTGAGGCCCAGCATTCTCAAAGCTGATCCAGCTGCTGGCACTTTCAGAGTTTATTTCAAACTGGACTGTCAAGCTTCTGTCTCATTCCTAAAACAAATGCAGACACTATTTCATACAACCTTTAGTTTGCAAACCTTTCTTCTGGGAGACTGGTCAGTGTGCAAATAGCACTGTTTGTTTACCTCAATGTGTGAGGGATTTCCTTACTGTCTCTGTTTAGTTTATGGATCTGTCAGACTTGGAGGGCAGCATCAAGCACAGCTTCCTTCCTCCAGAGGGAAGCAGCAGGGACTCAAGGATCCATCAAGCTGTCTGTCTGTCCTAGCCAATGTGGGGAAAACAGTTGTGGTTACCTCCATGCTCTTGCCTTCTGCAGTGAACACTAACCAAGCCAGACTAATAGAGGAGTGTGTGCTGCCTATCTGAGATCTGATGCTCCTGTAAGATGCAGTGCCCAAGTGTTAATGTGCTTTTGTGAATGGAAGCTTTTCTGTGTGTGCTTGAGGTCAGGGGACTTTGATGTGTAAAGGAGTGATGGTAGAAAAGCCTGCAGTGTCTGTCAGAGCAGTGCTGGAGGTACCAGGGTAGTAAACACCTGAGACCTTGAAAGGCTGCCTGAAAATTGTTCTCTGAAAAGGGCTCTAACTTTCCTCACTCCTGAGGGCTTCTCCACTTCCAGCTGTGAAGTGGGAAGATACAGGCTTTTTGTCACTATCCTGTTGAAAGGCTCAAAACTCTATTTACAGTACCTTAAATCTTGTATCCTTCTTTTCCTCTCCTTCCATCTTCCTGGCAAGTTGCTCCTCCTCAGTTGTAACATGTTAAACGGTGCCTTGCTACATTCCAGTGCTTTTAACTCTCCTTTAACCATGCAAGGGTGTAATTCCTGGAATTGTAACAGGCTAATTTACACTCTTCAGTTTGTGCTGTTCACTAAATGACAAGGAGCACCAGCTGGGGACAGAACTTAGTTAAAACAGCAGTAACATCCCAGCTCTTTGACATGAGCTAAAAATGAGGGTTGGGGAAAGCACCTTCCTGAAAGGACTCACCTGACTGCAGACAGAATGACAGAAGTGCAAGCTTGAGCCATGCTTGTTCTTTTCCTACCCAAATTCCTGGAGGAACAGAAAGTAATTCTGTGTGATTGTCACGTGCTGTCTCTCACCCAGCAATTTACAGTTTCCATCAGGAAATAACCCAAGGTATTTAACAGGTATTGGCTGCCAGTTATGCCCTTTCCTACCATGCAGTAAGGTCCTACACTCTGTAAAAGCTGCTTGTCCTTTCGTGCTTATTCTATTTGCCCCAAGCCATTCTCTCTGTTAGAGCAGCCAGGAACCCTCACTGCCAGGTCAGAAGCAGAGGTGGGTATCAAAACCTCTGCAAATAAACGTGCAGCACAAAAGGAAAAGTAAGGTTTTAAGGTATTAATTCATCCTCCTAAGTCTGAGCTGTGGCTTGCTGAGCAGATGAAGAAGGATGGTTTTGAGTGGTATAAATTTTTCAAAACTGCTGGAAGGAGACAAGAAACAAACATAGTTCAGAGGGTGTGAATTTTGCCTGCCTGGAATATCCTGTATCTTTGCTTTGCTCAAATAGCCTTATGTATGAAGCACTTTATTCAAAAGCAGGAATTAAAGAACTATTACTACAGCTAGTAGACTGGAAATGTTTACAGATCCTACATGACATTCCAAGATTCTATCTGTAAGTGTTACATGTCTGTAAAACTGTTTGAAAAAAGGAAAAAAAAAAAACCAACTTGTGTAAGAAGTTACATATGTGCTGTGTTATTTCTGGCATGATTGGATTAAACTTGTGCTGCCCACCATGCTGGGTTGGGCTGACATCAGTGCTGAGCAGTCACCTGGTCCTGCCCTGGGACAAAGCCTGCAGCCCTAGGGGATGGCACTTTGCAACAGGAACTTGCTGGAAGTTGAATTTATCCAGCATATTTTTACCTGAAATGCTCAAATAGTTTGACTTCACAGCAGGAGCTGCAACAGTGAAAGCTGGGCTGAGACAGGGCTGTATATCTACCTCTGGCTTGTGCTTTATCTCCCATAACCTCACACTGCCTTCAGCTGGAGGATCCTGAAGGAGTCTCTGGTTTGAACTTTTCAAAAGGCTTTCACAGCATCGTTACAACAGACCAACACATGCTTTTACTAAAAAAGTATTTTTAATAATAAAAAAACAAAACACCCACCCCTAAGGGAAAAGCTTAAGCCACTAGAAATGGTTAACAGTTAAGTTTTTAATAGCTGTGATGACATAACCACCAAAGCCTACCACAACCAGGGACTTCACAGCATAGGAAAACCCCCTTACTTTCCAGTGATCTGGAAAATAAGTCTTGTGTTCTGGAGCTGAGCAACAAGACCCTCACAAGTCACACTCAGGATGCTGTAGCCCAATGTGGGCAGTAGCATGTGGGCTGAATGCTTCTGCTTTCTTAAACTTCCTCCACTTCTTTCAGGCTGTGCTCCAGGATGGTGTCTTGTCCTTGGAACTTAAAATAGCCACGAAACAACTTTCTCTGAAGCACCAGGGGAAACCAGTAGCTGTCATCTGGCCACATGCAATGGAAGGGCACCTCGTCCAGCTGAAACCACTGGGGCCGCATTTCTGGTGGCAGAAAACAAAGGAACTCTGCATGGGCCTGCTCATGGATTGTTGCTGCCTGCACTGTGAATGTTGGTCAACAAGCAGCCTCCCTCTGCAGCCCAGCTGCCTTCCTTCTGGGAGGCATTTCAGAGTGAATAGTTCTCCATTTCCCAAGGGCAATGCTGTCTCAGAAGAGCATGCACCTCCTTTTCCCCAGACCAGCCACCTACCCTCACTTTCTGTTGGCTCTCCATGAAAGTGATCTGCACGGAAAATGTGAACGTCCATGAGTTCAGAGTTGCCCACAAATTCAAATGTGATCTGACCCATCTTCTGCAAGGTGTCCACAGTCAGTCCACTCTCCTCCAGGAGCTCCCTCCACAAGAAAAAGACATCTTACATGAAACTGAGCATTAGGAGGACAAAAATTGAGTCATTAGCTTTACTCACACATTTAAAACCCTTTCAGTGAACCAAAGGTGAAAGCTCTTATAGTACAGCAGAGCAGGGTTCTGACCTGCACCAAGCCACAAAGCTACAACACCACACTGGAGCCTGGCCAGGTAGGATTGTGTGTTATTTCAGGCTCCTGAGCCTGGCAGGAAAACAGTCTATGTTGCAAGGGGAAGATTCAGGAAAATGGATCATTTAGTAGAATTCAGTCCTTGCAACATGCAGCTCTTCTCTGAGGTAAGGGAGAAGTGGGGATGTGAAGTCATCTGACTATAGCTGGGTGTGGCTTCAGAACTCCAAGGTCCACGTCATTTAGACAGGCAAAAAGCTTTGCCAACTTCAAGCTGAACCTCTTAGAATTGTGGAGAAGCAGGTCATGAATACCAGAAAGAACATCTATACCTGCTACACAATCAGCTGCTTCTGAGGCAAACTGAAGCTTAGTTAAATTACACACTCCATAACACCATTTGCATACAGAAGGTTGAGAATTCCGGTTCCCATTCAAATGCAGTGTGAAAAACACAAAGCACTTGTGCAAACTTTGCCTTTCTGCTCCTTGGAAGCACATTGAGCATAACCAGAGGCCAAAAGGCAAGACTTTTTAAGAGCACTTGGAGAGCAGTGCCAGCTCTTTTCCACGCACCACCATGCACAGCTACTTGAAGCACATTCAATTATTTCCTCTCTTTATGCTGTGTGCTCAGAGATTTTTTTTATTTTACCTCCCTCTAAAAGAAGCAGCATGGCTTGAAGTTAGTAATGGTTTTTCTAATGTACAAAAATAAGGAATACTCTGTGTGTCTTTAGTTATAGTTAATAATTAATGTAGTTGCCTATTTGGCAGGAACAACAATTTTAAAATGTAATGGAAATTATTTCAAGGCTCCAGCTTTCTTTGGCATTGGTTTCATGGATCCCATCTTTCAAAATAATACTTCAAATTAATGTCTTGGCTAATTTTAGTTTATCTTCTGAGAAGCTATCTATGTCTAAAATAGAGGCAGTTTTCCAGCAATGACTCTAAAAGCCTCCTTTTACAGGCACTGATAATTGAACAACAAAGCACAACACTGCTATAGTTCTCCAGGCAATTTATCCATCAGCTGCTTGGCTCTGTCTGTAGCAAGTGGAAACATTACATGTGGCAAACTAGAAATAACTCATTTATTGAATGCTCCCCTTACAAGCTGTGCCACTAAGGACCTGCCCAGGTGCTCACGGGAATGTGCTGTACACAGCAGAAGATGGAAATCTTGCTGGTGCTGGGAACTTTTGTTCATGTTTTGGCTTAATATTTAACTACCTGTGCTGAGACTTCACACCTGCTGCCTCTGCCAACTGAGACAGAGCAACATGGAACCACAACCTCAGACCTCAACTGCCAGTGAGAGTGGAAGTGGTACAAGGGGAGTTTGATCTGCAGTGTGTGGTGCTTCCTGCAGCAGAGCTGTGCCCTGAGGCAGCACTGCACCAGTGCTGCTCCAGCCAGCAAGGTGGCCAGTGTGTCCAGCTGCTCCTGGCTCTGGGGACAGCTTCCTGCCCAGCTGACCTCAGCAGGAACTGGCTGTGTCATTCTGGACTAAACTGCAGCTGAAGGGATGGGGACAGTCCCCAGCAGCAGGTGCTGGCTGTGCTGTGGCACATTGCATTTGGATTGAGGGAAATTTTAGTGTTTGACATCTTGTGTGAACAGAGGTTCTGGTGCCAAACTCGGGGCCAGCACAGGTAAACACACCAAGGAAATCAAATGCTACATTAAACCATTAGATTACCCCACAGCCGGTGGCAGGTAAGTCTAGCAAATGTTAAGTGACAAAACTTGTGTCCCTCCCTCCACTCAGAGATGATAAACCACACAAAAAGCCATGATGAAATGTCAGGTACATTAGGGCCATGTGCTGCTGGGAGCACATCTGCACAGAGACCCTGCTGTCCCTGGGCCCAGCTCACCACAGAGCCTGGGCAGTTGTGCTGGCACAGCTGAGGAGGCTGTTGAGGGCAGAGGCTGTTGGCAACCAGCTGAGCACACCATGACTGATCTTCCTGCAGGTGCAAGGGCAGCTCTGGGCACGTTATCAGAAACTGAGGAGATGGCAAAGCATGGCTTTGTAACAGCAACATTCATGTAAAGAACAAGGTACCTAATTTTTAGAGGAATTTAGCAATTTAGCTGTGATTTGCTACTTCATTTTAATGACCAGATAGATGAAAGAACTACAAGAAATCAGTACTAAAGGGTTCAGAAATTACACTCTGCCTTTTTACTGATGAAATTCAATTCCACAACTCAGCATTAGCACTTAAAAATGTCACACCATACGATCAAATAATAAGCAGTTTGGCTAATTATTTAAATTCAATTAGCTGTAATTCTGCTATATAGTCAAAATTAAACCCTGCACCTCTCTGAAGATTGCAAGAACCTCTACCCACCACTCAGACTCATTCTCAGTTTAGATTAGAGTCCAGGAGATGGGAGGGAGGACAGGAAGCTCCAGTTGCTCACAGACTGGATGAGTTTAAGATATGCAGGTGACAAAGGTGATGATTGTTTCTCTTGTGCAGAGAAACAATCCTGTTTCTCTGTACATGTGGATGATCCCTCATCACCTGCAGAGCAGGTGTTCAGAGCTGGGTCAGGTAACACGAGGGTGTCACTGACCAGATGAGCTGTGGTACCTCTGCCTGCAGCCCACTGCCGATGGTCCAACACCTCCACTTGTGCCCCCATACCTGTCCCCGTGGCGCCGGCCCGGCCCTCACCTGCGGGCAGCCTCCTCGATGCTCTCCCCGGGCTGCACCTTCCCCCCGAAGCCGTTCCACAGCCCGGCGCCGAACCCGCGCTTCTTCATGCCCAGGAGGACGCGGGACGGCTGCACCACCAGGACGAGGGTGAAGAGTCTGGAGGTGTGCATGGCTCCTGGCTGAGGGAAGAGGCGGACACGCTGTGCCGAGGCTTCCCGGCCTCCTTCCGAGGGGACCCGGGGGTGCACAGAGCCCCGAACACCAGCAGCCCTCCCCAGTGCCCGGTCCCCAAACTCTGGTCCCCCAACACCGACCTCTCTAACGCTCCCACTGACCCTCGCTCTCCGGCCACCTCAGCACCCCCTTCCCAAAGTTTGATCCCCCATTCCCAAATCCTTGTTTCCCCAAACTCCCCCCTCAGAATCCTGACCACCTTTAACACCCTCTCCCAGCATCCCTGACTCCCAGCACCCTTTCCCCAAATCCTCGATCCCCTCCGCAAACCCCCGTCCCGCCAGATTCTCCGACCACCTGCAACATCCCTTCCCCGAATCCCTGAGCCCCGAGAAACTCCTCCCCAAATCTCCGATGCGCTCTCCCTAAATCTTTATTCCACCTAAACTCCCTCCCCGAATCCCTTATCACCCTCAACATCCCCTCCCCGAATCCTTGACTCCCAGCGCCCCTTGCCCAGATCGTTGATCCCCTATCCCAGTCCCTGACCCCCCTGCACTGCCATCCCCGTCCCCGCGCACCTCAGCCCCGCACTCGCGGCTTTCCCGCCCACCTCGGTGTCACCCTCGGCCGCGGCCCGTCCCGGCTCTTCCCGCGCCGCCGCCGCCCCGCCCGCGGCCGCCGTGAGGGGAGGCGGGACAGGGCGGGCCGAGGCGGCCATGGCGGCCGCGGGCGGAGCTGTCATTGCCGGGGGCAGGTGCGTGGCGTGGCCGCTGAGGCGATCCCGGCGCCCACGAGGGCGATGGTGGGGTGCCGCTAGTGCCGGTTCCTGGAGATTCCCTCGGGAATGGGTTAATGGGCGTTTGGGTGCCGCCCGGGCAGGGGCCGTGCCTCTTGGTTGCTCTGCCAGGCTTGCGGGAGCTCGGGCATCGCTCCGTTCCTCTGAGCGGCTCACGGAGGCCACCGGCCCCGCTGAGGCAGCTCAGGAGTGCTGGGGTCACTCTGCTATGTCGTGTCCTTAAAACACCTGAGCAGAAGCGAGAGTGGGATCGTTTTCCCCCCTTGGCTCAGGATAGCACGTGAGGCCTCATCCAAAGTCTGACCCTGCTGTTGTGATAGGAACTGATAAATAAAGGTGCCAGAAATCTCAAATTTTGGGGGCTTCTTTTTAGAATCACAGAATGGTTGGGTTGGAAGGGACCTCTGGAGACCATCTAGCCCAATGGAACTGGTGACACAGGAACATGTCCAGCTGTATTGAGAATGTCTCTGGACAGGGAGACTCCACAACCTCCATGGCTGCATGCAGTGGCTGGAGTTAATAAATATAAAGACTTTTAAAATACAGAGTGAGTGGTTATTTACTAACTGGTTGACTTGTCTCTCTTCCTGGCTTTGAATGAGCAGATGCCTGCACACCACGGTGAAGTTTCTGAGGAAAACTGGAACTGAGCAGAGGTGGTTGGAGCGGCACTTGAAGGATCCCTTTGTAAAGGCATCGAAGCAGCAGCAGTACCGGTGCCGAAGTGCCTTCAAGTTGCTGGAAATTGATGACAAGCTCTGCGTTCTTCGTCCAGGATTTTCTGTTCTTGACTGTGGAGCAGCACCTGGTGCTTGGAGCCAGGTTGCTGTAGAGAGGGTCAATGCCTTAGGTACTGGTAAGTGCAATTTTTTGGCAGGCAAGATGGAGATGGTACTCCTCTTGAAGATTTGTGAAATACTATGGAATCTAAATCGAAATACTATGAAATCAAGGAAACATTATGATAGTAACCATGTGGGAAGGGGACATGGGTACTGGCAAGTGCTAGAGTCACTGATAAAAACATGAAGGGGTGAGCCTAGTAAATCTTCATGTAGAGAGATTGTGTTTATGAAATAGAACATACCATGTGGCACTGGTGATCTGATAGCTGTTATGGGGAAGATCCCTTCACCCAGTTCTGAAATTGGTGTGACCTCTAGCAATTACCTTGGCTTATTTGAAATATTATTCCCTTCTCGAAAAATGGAAGCAACTGCTTTGCATGGTTTATATGGGTGAAGCCATTGATATTTACAAAGTGAGGTGTTACCATCTGCACCATTATCCAGGATTTCTGGACTGTCAGCCTTGTAAGAACAGCAGAAAACAAAGAAAAATCCTCCTCGTTTATCCAAAGTAGCTGAGTTTTTATGTCTTGAATGGCTGAGCTTATGGCAAACCCTCCATCCAGATGAACCAGCAAACTGCCAGGGGACGAGAAGGCAGCTGTGGCAGGGGGTGGTTGTGTCTGCTGGCACAGAGCTCGTGCACGTGCAGGGTTTTGCAGCCACTCTGAGTGTTCCCTGTGTCGTTCATCCTTACAGATGCTGCTCTCCGCACTGGCTTCGTGCTTGGCGTTGACCTGCTGCGGATTTCTCCCCTGGAAGGAGCAGTTTTCCTGTCAGAGACTGACATGGCAGAGCCCAGCACGCTGAGGGCCATCCAGAGCTTGCTCCCCTCAGGGAAGGCAGATGTCATCCTGAGTGACATGGCCCCCAACGCCACGGGCATTAAAGAGCTGGATCATCAGAAGCTGATCAGGCTGTGTTTAGGCCTTCTGGATATAGCCCAAAGCATTTTAAAGCCAAAAGGAACGATGCTCTGTAAATTCTGGGATGGATCTGAGGCCCGCCTGCTGCAAAACAGACTGAAGGAGCAGTTCCAGGATGTGAGAACTATAAAGCCTCAGGCCAGCAGGAAGGACTCTGCAGAATCTTATTACTTGGCCAGGCTGTACAGAGGGAAATGAAAGTCATGAGCTGCAAGATTCTTTGACATTGGTTGGAAATCTCAGTTTAGTGGGTGTTTAAAGGAAAATCCCACTATTAAGGCCTTGGGGAAGTTTGCTACTCTTCAAGTCCGTCAGGCTTTTCAAATACTTGTGGACAAAATGGTTGGGAATGGAGAGGAATAATCTGAAAGGCAACCTCTGGGGCTGGAGTAAAGGAAATGAAAATAAAATGTTGATTATATGAGTTTGTAATGCTTGCCTGAAAACCATTGCACTGTTAATGCTGTCATACATGACGCTGACCATAAAGGTGATTGTTATAACGTGAGGGAACAGCAAAGGGGAGTTTGAGCCAATTCAGTGCCTTTTAGAAAATATTTCTGGGCACATCAGGATGTGCATCCTCATGCAGGTTGTGTAACACAGCCATGTGAGAGGCACAGCTGCCTTGGGAATGTTCAGCCCTATGGCTCTGCTGCCTCTCCTGCAGACTCAGGTTATATTTAGGAATTGCTGCTTCCTGGCACTCATAAATCCAGTCAGTGGCAGTGGGACAGGGTCATGGCCATGCCAATCATCTCCCGAGTGCTTTTTAGGTGTGGCCAGTGGTGTTTCTCAGGCAAAAACACAAGGTGTTCCTAGGATCCCAGCAGGGAGAACGACTGAATTGCCGGAAATCTGTTAGCACAAATAAATTCAGCTGCTGCCTTATCTGAAAGTGACAAATTTTATATTAAATACTGCTTTTATCAGGCTGACTGTGGCATGAATTATACCAGAGGCTGGTTTAAGACTCCGAGGCCTTTCTCATATCATCAGCAGCTCATTTGGGGCAGCTGAATGGATCGGTGCCGGGGCAGGAGGGCGCGGGGCGGGCTCCGAGCTCAGCCCGCCGTGTCGGGCATTACGGTACCGCGGGCAGTGCTGCGCGCATAATGCCGCACTTACGGCTGCCGGCGCCGCCGTTCTCGCGAGAGGTGGGCGCGGAGTTCCCGCGAGATCCCGTGGCCGGGGCGAGGAGGGAGATCCAAGCGGGGCGCGCGGCGGTGAGCGCTGAGCGAGGGACGGGGGCAGAGGGGAGAGAAGGAGGGCAAGGGGAGAGAAGGAGGGCTCCGACCGCGCCCGTCCCACCCCGCTCTTCCCCTGGCGGAGTCGTGCGGGCGAACCCCTCGGTGCCCGGAGCTGCCCCGTGCCCGCCGCTGTCGCTCTCGGTGTTCGCTGCGTGCCCCGGGGCAGCCTTGGCCTAAAGCGGACCGGGTCCCACACCTGTGTCGCCTTAATTGTTAGTAGGTTTGAGAAAGGGCTTGCTGGAGCTACCTGCCGGCAGGTGCGTTTGGTATCCAGCGCTCAGTTTGGGTTTAGGCAGATCTGTTGCTTCTGCGCCGCTCTTACGCCGCCTGCTCGTGGTGCTGTGAATGCAAACGGTAACTGCGGAGCGACCCCGGGGATGCAGGAGGCAGCCCCAGGGCTCTGTGTGTGCCACAAGCCATGTGGATGTTGTGGCTGTTTTTCCTGGTCCTGGACCTTTTCCGGTGTTTCTGGGGATTTATAGAGTATGCAGTCACTGGAGGGACTCACCTAAGGCTTCCTGAAATATCCAGGGAAACCTTGCAGGCTTTTCTGAGCACCACGCTTGATTCATCTAGTTAGTGTTCTAGTTAATCCCCTTCTGAATTGGAAGGAAGAGCTACATCTTATTATATGAATGATGAGATGCACTTTCACTTTACAAATGATCAATGGACTTGGGAAGACTTCTTGTTGGAAATTAGAGTTCAAAGTGCTTCTGGGAAACCAGAAACAAGTTGTGTAGCAGGAAGGGTTTGCTGCTACTGTGGAGTTAGTTCTGCTCCCATCAGCTTCAAAAACTGGGGGGAAGAACAATGAATTTGGTTTGGTCAGAGAGAAGAGGTTGTCTTGCATCTTTTTCTCATTTCAGAGAAAATTACAACTTCAGCCTGGGTGGGGTTATGTTTTCTGTGGATCCCAGCAGTGATTTGCAGGTTGATTTTTACCCTGTAAATTGGAAGACCTCGTGTTTAGTGTTTCCTCAGGACAATGATGCATTCCTCTTTAGCAGAGCATCTTGCTCTGAGTGTTTTGCTGATGATTTTCTGTGCATTTCCAGAGCCATGGAGGACTTGGAAAATAATACCACTGTCTTCTCCACCCTGAGATCCCTCAACAACTTCATTTCACAGCGTATGGAGGGGGTGTCTGGGCTGGCTACACCAGGATCAACTCAGAGCTCCTTACAGATGCAGTACCAGCAGAGAATGCAGGTGAGGAATCCTCATCTTGGTGATGCCTGCAGTATCACTTCAGTGTGGTTGTGTGCTCCTTTTGATTCCTGGAGCTGGGAATTTCATTCAGTTCTGACCATTCTTTCTGAAGTTGACATTCTGAAATTGACACAAACAAATAAAGGAAGCTTTCTGTCACCATTCTGGAATCTTTCCCAGAATATATTTAATTTTTTTTACAGTGGCAGACAGGTTTATTTCTGTTTTGTAAAAGTTTAAGAAAGGTCCTTTGAATTTATTCCCTGCTAGTTATATCTGTGTACCAGCTCAGGAAATAAAATTATGAGTTGTTTTTATATTGCTGAACAAAGGAGCTTGGTATCTTAACATTTTTCTAGTAAGACACTTTGTTACCTTTTTTCAGGATTTAAAGGCTTCTTAGCCTGGACACATCCAGGAGACTTGCATTGAGCTGTGGCTTTGATATGCAAACCAGTTGTGCTTTCTTATTCACCTGGGTTATTTACTTTTTTTTCCTCTTAGCTGCTTCAGGCTCATAAAGCATAAAGTAAATTGGCATCTTAGATCCCAGGGACTGTTTATTAGGCTGGAATGAAGTTTCTCTATTCTGTACCTTAATATAATTTCTATTTCAGCCTCTAAGTAAAAAATGAGATTGCTTCTTTTTAATGTAAATCTGCTTTGCATTTGGAATGTTGACAAAAACTTAATCTTTTTCTGTCTGTGCTACATCTCTGGTGACAGCAGTAGTTGCAGGAGGCTCTCTCTGGTTAGAGTCTCCACTGGCTGTGTGTTGGATGTACATCACCAGGATGTGAGCAGTTCTGTTAGTATTGTCTGTGCTCTCAGGTAATTTGAATGAAAAAATGAAGGGTAATGTTGTAGAGCTCATGGAAAAATGTGTTATTTTGCTCAGCAGTTACTTTTATTGGGAGTATGATCTGTGCTTCTTAGGCTTGGGGAGTTCATAATTAGGTTTTTAGATAGAGAAGTAGATTTTGTCAGGCTACACCTAGAGATTGAGAAATTCTGACTTAAGAACCAGGAATTAGTTTCCAATTCACCTTGGTTTGATGTGGGTTTCTGGGCATGATGTTGAACTCTGAGTTTCCCCATCTACAGCTGGTGTGAGAAGTACCACAAATGTGGTGATAGTTTGTAAAATGGCAAATTAATATTAGCTGAGCAATGCAGGGCATGATGATACTGTTGATACTGTTGTGCTGTTAATGGTGTGCAATTTTTCACACATGAACTGGCCAGCTGGAGGAGCAGGCTGGGCAGATCCACTCCAAATCCCAGCTGCTGCAGGTGGAACGGGAGAAGATGCAGATGGAGCTGAGCCACAAACGAGCTCGCATCGAGCTGGAGAAGGCAGCCAATACCAATGCCAGGAACTATGAGGTGAGTGGGATGTTTGCTCATGGCTTGGGAGCATTGGCCTAAGCCAGAGCACATTTACATCAGTGGTTTGGTTCAGGGATGTGCATTGGTTTGCAGTGGTCTGTCTCTTTTTGGAGTGAAACTGAACTGAAAGGTGCACTCCAGCAGCAAGCCTGGTGTTCTCTGACTGCTAATGGACACTGTCTTCAGAGCAGGACTTCAGTGAATCTGGAATGCATTTACTGCAGGTGTGGGTGTCAAGTTGCCAGCACCAATGCACCACAAGAACTGCTCTGCAGGTCCTCTCTCAGTGCACTGCACTAACTTGCCAATGTGCACAAGAGTGTGAACTTGAAGCCTTGTTAGGTTCACAGACTGCTGATCTGCTCACTGGATTCTGTTAGCTTAGCCCTGAAGTTGTCACGGGTAGCAGTAACAAAAGGGATTTGTTATATGTTTCTCCCAGAAGTATTTAATAATTTTTCTCCTAGAGGGTTTAAAGTTCTGCTGGCACAATTGCCAGCATTTGGTTTGTGTGACTGTAATTAATTGGAATGGCAGCAGTTCCAGCCATGCAGTGTCATGCAAGAGAGCCTGCACTGATAAAACAGTGAGCCTCACTCAGGGACTAATAGCTTTTATTGGGTTCTGCTTTTCTGCCCACATATGTTTGCTTAACGACATTACTGAAATAAGCTGTGGATCAGTGGCTTTTGTAGCATAATAAAAGTCTGCTGTGTGGCTGATTATTGAAAAAGAAATCTGTAAAAAATAATAACTATGTTTTGTTGTATTTTATGAGGGTGACAGATTTAGTGTGTGGTTGTGAAATAGGGAGTCAGTGACTAAATTCCTCCTTCCTCTGAAGGAAGGTGATGTGGGATTAGGCCAGGAAGAGTTCAAACTGGAATGTAGCTGAGTCAGTCACAGAAACCCTTGAAATACTGGTACAAAAAAAGGGAGCAGCATTAATCCAGCACTGTGGTAATTACCCTGCTCAGATTCTGTGTTTTTCTGAGTCATGTGGATAAAGGTTTTAGGAACCTCACATTGCTTTGCATAATCCTTGCTTACTATGCAAATCCGTGTCTCCAGTTGCTTTGATTAGCAAAGCAATTTACTATGCATTTTTTCAATAAGTATTGATGAATTTGTGGTAGGAGTAAACTGAAATGGTATATGAAATGTTGTCAGACTGCAAGAGTATTTATTGTGTTAGTTAATAATATTTTCTTTTAAATGGCCTCAATTCCAGAAGTTGCAGAGGGAAGTTTGTCTTATTAACCCAGCTGTTGAGGGCTGAGTTTCTGAAAGTCAATTTACTGTGTGTGGGTCAGCTTTAAATTGGAGATTGAATGTTTTCATCTTTAATCTGCTAGGGAGTGTGCAATGGAGTCTGTGGAGCCACATCTGTATTTCATAGTCATGTCTTAGTGAAAGAGATTTGGAAAACTTGGTCTCTTAATTTTCCAGCTCCATTTCCCTGGGTAATTCCTTGGGTAATTCCATTGAGTTACTGCTAATAAATTTTTGTCCTTGCTAGGTTAAAACTGTGGTCTGAGTAACTTTGCTTCATGATGAAGCAATTACCATTGGTGATCACAGTAATGAGGAATGAGGACAAAAGAAGGAAAAATGGCTTCACCTTTCTGCTGCTTTCTTCTGAAATCTCTCTGTGTTTTTTCCCTTGGCCAGCGAGAGGCCGACCGTAACCAGGAGCTGCTCACACGTATCAAGCAGTACCAGGAAAGGGAAACAGAGGCTGAAAATAAACTGAAAGAGCAAATGGAGATGAACAAATCTTACAAGAAGAGCATGGAGACAATGAGTAAGAAGCTGCAAGAGAAGGAGAGCAAATTAGCCGAAGCTAATGAAGTAAGAACAGAGTAATTTTTAATTCATTCCTAGCTTCAGGTGACTTTGCAGTTCTTGTGACTTGATAATGCCCTTTTTGATTTAAAATAACTGGAACATTGTGTTCATCACCTGGAAATGAATAAACCCTGGTGGTGTGTGTCTTTTCTGTGAAAGTTTAGAATCAAACCAAGCCCAGATATAAGTGAGCAGGTCAGAAGGGAAAGAGATTTCTTAGACAAGGTGGTATGGAGAAGGAGGAAAAACAGTGTGATGGAACATCCAGCATCTGGGTTCAGAAGTGTGAAGAAAAGAACAGTAATGGAGGAGATAGAAAGGAACAGTAATATTGGAGATAGTATGGGAAAATTCAGGGAGGTCAGGCAGGCTCAAGCAGAATGGATGATACCAACATTATGTACCAAGTGTGTCATCTTGAAGTGTCTTAAATACCTGTGCATTCTACTGCAGAATGAATACTTGGGTAACAGTTTTGGTATATTTGGATGCCCAGACCATCTTCTCAACCCTCAGCCTCCTCAAATATCATTATAGTTAAGTTCAGCTGTTTAATTTGTAACTTTCCCATACCAGCTGTTGATCAGCAATCACTAAGTCCTTAAGCCCTGCTCCTGCCTTGGTGTCACTGGAAATGTAGCAGTGTGATAAAGCTGGTAAACAGATTTAATGTTCCAGTTATCAGTGATTAAAACCAGGGGAGAGTGAAACTAAACCCACCTAAAAGATGTGTGCTGCAGTTCTGTGTCTGTGTTCTTTTCTTCCTATCAGTATCAAGATGAGAACTCTACCTGTCTCTCTGTCTAGAAGACACAATGCATATGTGATGTTTTGAGATATTTCTCTTTTTCTCTGTTACAGGGAGCTGAGTAATGGCTATTGGAAACAAACCTGTGAGCTTTTATTTAGAGTTAATATATTTAGAAAAAAACATCACCTAACTTTAAAGTTTGATATTTTTTCATGCCAGTTTGAGGTCACCCATTTAAGAGATAATGTAAATGACAATTTGGATGGCAAATTGAAGTTCAAAATTATTTTCTCTTTTATTTGTTTGAGGTAGGTTTGCAGGTCCGAAGGTTTGCAGGAGTGTGGGTTTGTTTCTAAGATTGTGTTAGTAGTAGTTAGTTTTTTAGTTGGATATTATTTCTGTCATCATCCATAATATCTGGCTTGGAAAGTCACAGCCTTGTGTGTTTATGCTTTTTTTTTTTCCCATTAATTCAGACAATCACTGTATTAAAAGGAAAAATATCAGAGCTGCAATGGAATATAATGAACCAAGAGATGCAGATGACAAGCCAAGACTCTCAGAAGCAGGAACTGATGGAGCAGCTGGATGTTGAAAAAAAGTAAGCAAGGGATGAATGACTGTAGGGAGAAAAAGGCAAACAGAACTTCAGTCTTGTGCAGCTGTCATCACTCAGAAAACTTTCAACTGTGTTTGATTTCTGCTCTTCAAAGGGGCTCTTTGATCTGGGTGTGCAGGTTATAGCTATTGTTTGAACCAACTCTGAGGTGCAATTTTAATTGTACCTTAAGGAAAAAACCCCACAAACTTGAGCTTTAAATCTCAGTGATGTTTCGTGTTTTCAGTGGAGAGTTACCAGAAGGCACGTGGGTGGGAAAGGCTGATCTGAACTTTATGGACTAAAGAGAGCAGTAATATGAAACCTTAATTCATAGTGGAGGGGTAATTGAAAGTTAGGAGTGTTTTTTCTTGCTTGCTAACTTCAGCTCTTCAATTTCTAAGTTGTGAAATTTTTTTTATTCTGAGTATATATTTGTTGTTCTTAGAGTTAAGTGGCTTGATTTTTTTGTATTTTTCTCAAGATGCTTCTTTTAATTAAAATGAATGGATATTTTTGTCTCTAAATACAAGGGAGCTTGATATGAGTGTGAGATTGAAAGAGCAAATGTTATATAAGAGTAGCATTTACCTTGTTAGTGCTGTTTGACTCTGTTGGTCAGAGACTTCTGAAGATGGGTTATTTGTGGTACCTGAATTCTGGGTGCTCAAGTGCCTCTTGTGTCTTCATCTGACAGGAAATGGCAGGAGGCAAGTCAGCAAATCCAGACACTGCAAGCAAGCCAGTCCTTACTGACAGAATATGAACAGAAGATTAAGGTAAGAAACTTTGTGACCTATATAGCTTTAGATTTTAATTCCTTCAGTGGAAGAGCAGAACACTGCTTTTTAAAAAACTGGCTGTTGCAGATGTAAAAGGTTAATTTGTTATGTAAGTACCTGAGTTGGTTGCTAGCAAGAGTTGAGCTTGGGTGGACCAGGCTATCCACAATTAGCTGTAACATGACACTTTGTTGTATCAATTGATTGAAAAAAGCATCCTTTCTCTATAGATAGGTGATTTATATCCTTAAGCAGTGCTCTGTAGGAATGCTTTTTTTGGTCTTGTGCCACAGCACAAATTTGCTCTGCAAAAGACTGCTTCTAGATTGATCTTTTTTCAAATGGTGTGTGATGAGCTACAGTTATTTTCTGCTTCCCAGAAAATCCTTCCTCTGCAGTTGTGTTTAGAAAGTGCAATTACTTGTAAAGCTTTCAAAACTACACTATCTTAAACATCAGTGTAGAGATGCTTTTTGTGCTTCCAAATGAGCACATAGGTTGGTGGGAGTGTATCCTTTTCATTTATCTTGTTTTCCTGGCAGAGGCAGATGTGGAGAGTTACTTTGGTTTGAGCAGTGCTGACAGTGGCACTGCCTTGCTGTGAAAGCAACCTGATGGCCAGCAAGGGGAGACTTTCTCCATGGAAATGAAAAGATGGAAAACAGGATATAAGTCTGCAACACAACCCTAAATAATTTGGGTTTTTAATGGAAAATGCCCCAACATTTACCATAATATTGAAATGCACATTAGTGTTTCTTTCTGTACCTAATTCTTGCAGGCCATTCAAATGGTTCCCGCTTTGTTGGTGGAGGGATGGAGGACAAGAAAATCACAGATTTGGTTCAGTTTATAGAAGATCATTTTAATGAGTAACTGAGGGTTTTTTTTGTTGTGAATTTGGATTGAGCAGGTGTAGAGAGAAGAGACCAGCCCAGGTGTTTAAAGTGCAACAAGAGTCATCCCTGCTTTGAGCATGGATTGGACCACATGACCTCCTGAGTTCCCTTCCAACTTCATCCAGTTCTTGATTTGAGCTTAAAAGGTACAAAGCAGAAATGGCTCTTACAAATTCCAACTTACTCATTGCTGTCCTGTTCTCATCCCTTGTTTTCCAGGATCTGGAGCAGAAGCTGTCCCAGCAGGAACATGATGCTGTAATTGTCAAGAACATGAAGGCAGAACTGGCTCGTTTCCCAAAAATGGAGCGTGAATTGCGCCAGCTCAGGGAGGAAAACGCCTACTTCAGGTGAAGGAAGGGCTCAGGTGTTGAGGGTTGTGTTCTTCTGTACATGCTCCAGCTGCACTGTCTGTCCTTTACATCCCTCTTTAGGGTTTCCACATGGGAAAGCTCAGAAGGAAGTATTTAATATAAATACTGCCTATGAATTGAGCAGAGTCATGGTGCTTACTAGATGAGAGGATCTGAGGAATCTTCTTGAACACAGGAGCCCCACAGAATGTGACTTCATTGTTCAGGGTGGTGATTTTGGATTGTTAGAACAAAATTCAATGTTTAAATGTAATGATGAACTCCATACAGACTGGGGAAAGAATTTCCTGTAGGGACAAGAGGCAGCTGAACATTCCTTTAAGAAGTGGTTTTGCTTAGCTATTGTTACCACTGTTTTAAAGACCTGTTGTTCCAGCATAATGTTTAGAAAGTGTCTTGTTTAAATTTCTAAACTCTGATACAGCCATTGGGTATGGTAGGCATTCTGGATTGTCAAAGTGGAAATCAGTTTGAAAAATTAAATTAAATATAATGTGAAATAAATTGCCTTAAAGTTTTGGGTGTTTGTTGTTATTGTTATTTGTCTTTTAAAAAAATTACACGAGTCATCTTGCCAGCTTTTTTTTTTTTTTAATTAAGTAGTTTTCCTAGGTTTTGGTCTTGTAATTATTTCATTATAATTTTTAATTGGTAGTCTTGGAATTTTTTCTCATGCTTTTTCTTCTACACTGGAACATACCAACAGATTAAAGGTCATTTGCTTTTGTACAGATATATTTCACCCTTGTACACCTCTATTGAAGTAAAACCAAGCAGTGCTCCAAAGCCCAGGTCTGTACAGCTTGCTGTGTTCCAGTCAGACTGAAAAGCTGAGTTTGGAGTCTTTTGTTACCCTTGTTTTGACAAATAGTAAAGCAGACACAAAGCTTCAGCTTGTTTGGGCATAATTAGGATGGTATTTAGAGTATAAAAATTTAATTTCAATAAAACTGTATTTTTTTGGTAGCAGTGGCTTTGCTGTGAAGGTTATAGAAGTGAGTCAGTTGAATGTCATGATTCCCATGGGATTCCTGTATATCAGAAAGTTTGTGAAAGGGAATTGCCTTGCATGAATCTCTAGTAACTGTCTCTCTCTTCATCACAGGGAAATGAAAGAAAACAATGGTTTGCTTAAAGAGGAGGTGGAAGGTCTCCAAAGAAAGCTGGAACGCTATGAGAAAGTCCAAGCACAGCTCGTGACTGTGGAATTGGAAAATGAGGTGAGGAGCTGTGAACATCTGGTGGATGAACAGGACAGGAGTTTCCTCTATTGCCTGGTCTGACTTTTAGGCTCTTCCTCTATTGTGTTACTTAAGATATGATATCTCCTTTAGTTAATGGACTCAAACCAGCCATTCCCAAACTGGAAAGTCACCCTGAGGGGAGTCATGGCAAGGAAGGGGTGAAAGGCAAAAAGGATATTTACTGTTCAGCTGGGGATTTTGTGTACAGAATAATCTCATCATAGTGTCTATTTTAGCCTTGATGTGTCTCTGTTACCTTTCTTCTGCTGGAAAGGCTTTTTCTGGCATCAAGCTCTATCCAGACATGGTGGTGTCAAACATGTGTGTGAAGAACCTTGGTACCCAGGGCTGCAGAATGACAAACCCAAAATGCTGGATAAGATCAGGAAATCCACAGGAGGAGAAGGAATGACACTGACTTTGCATGGAGGATTATGAGAAAACTCTGGTTTTGACTTTTCTAACAGCTCTGGTGAGCTGTTAGAACACGTGTCTATGTCTAACTCTACTTTTAATCTCCACTTTAGAAACTTCTGGGAAAATTACAAAGCTGGGAGAAACTGGATCAGAGCACTGGCTTAAATATCAGGTATGTGCTCACAGCTCTGGAGGGAAGTAAGACTTTTAAGCCCTTTCCTCTTAATCTTCTGACTGATCTCTTAAGTGTGTTGGCCATGCTTTCTTTCTGTCCCTTCTTCATGTACATTCATTATATAGTACATTTCATTATATATGAGAAGAAAATAAGATAACACAATTTTTAAAGTAACTTTGAAATCTAAGAAATGTGTTTCACCAAGTAACCTTGAGTAATGTCTTTGAGGCTGGGGATCAATTTTGAATTCTTGAAACTTTTTGTGTATAGCTGCATTTTTATTTAGTTAAGAGATTCCACATACTTAATAAGTGAATTTCTAAGAATTTTAGATGTCCAGAGAAGAGAATGTGTGCTAGTTGTGGCAAACTATTGTAAACATATTTCCCGTGAAATCTGGATATCAAAATTAGCTGCTAGATCATGTTGTGACTTTCTTTCCCTAAAGCAGCTGAAGAAATGTTGTTATTTTAGTTATTTTGTCAAAGCCACTCCCCAGTTGTGTTTTCTTACACCAGCTGGTCTGTGTGCTGGTACTCAACAGCTCCTCCTGACATCTGGAGCAGTGAACCAGATTTTTTAAGGTCCCTGTGTATGTGGTATAAAAAGGAGCTGGAAATAGTGGAATTTCTGATCATTTTCTGTGTATATACGAGTCTTTTATGTGCCATATTTCAACACTTTTATTTTCTCTAAATATTTGCAGTGCTATTACATGAGAAAAGGAGATGCTTCTTTGTAAATAATTGATAAAAGGATTGATCACTTTTCACACTGGGTCAAAGCTGAAAACATGAGCAGCAGAACCTCATCTTGCCAGTTGTTTCTCCATTCCATTCATTCCACATACCCAGCCACAGAGCTGTGTCTGCACACTGCTGGGATTGTTTGGAAATGCACAGATGGTTTCTACACATCTGTGCTTCATGTAAAAGATACTTGTGTTCCCACTTGGGAAAGCTCCCTTAATTTCCTCAGTGTTTTCTGTTTAATGAGGATAACGAACCTTTTCCTGAGGCCTGCTGGTAGGTAGCAAGCTTGAGGTTCTCTCCTGCATCTGCTGGGGATCCATACATTTAGATGAAGATGGAATTATGCTAAGTCTCCTATGGTAAGGTATGGACAGAAATTGTAGGGATCCTTTTCACAAAAGCTTTTGGAGTAAAAGCTTTTTACTTACCTCAAGCTGTTAAAGGTTTAACGAGGTAATTTCACAGTGGGAGAGAAATGGAACCAAGTGATTCTGCCTGTTGAAGTCTAATAACTCCTTCATTTAAAATCAGAATATTCACTGTGAAGTGCTGGTTTTGTGATTGGGCCATATTGTTTAGTGCTATTAATGGCACCTTCTACAGAAAGGGGAATTGCTCTTGACAAAGATCATCTTTTCATGTAATTGGAGCAAGTGGGACTGGATGATTTCCCCCTCCCTCCCTTATTGTTCTTTTTCTTTTCTTGCTCAGACTTCTTACAGCATGAATTACATTAATTTTTGTGAAGGTGATGAAGATGGTGAGAGATCATTGTCCTGGTTGGATCCTGGAAAATGCTGTTGGTGAAAGTTTGAGAAGAGTTAATTGCCCATCTCATAGTAGAAAAGAAATGAGAACAAGTTGGCTGATTGTCCCAAAGAGCCAGAGGAATGTTCTGTTTGCTAATAACTAGATAAGAAAGGGGAAGAGGGAATAAATTAGGATTTCTCATCTTTTCTTATCGGGTTCTTCATTGGTACAGAGGATATAAGGGAAGTGCATGCAGTGTGTGGCGTTTTAGCAGAGGATGATTTTTCATTTCCTCCAGCACTTCCACAGGGCTTGTTCAGTGTCTGCTCTCAGTGGTTTCTGTTCACTGATTGCCTGCTCCCAGCAGGCTTTTTGTCAGATTGGCTTATGATCAGCCCTTGCAGTGTAATTTTATGTAATAATACTTGGGAAGGAGGTGCAGCTTTCAGGAGTGTAGTGGTAATCCAACTGTTTTTAGTACTGGTCTCTTTTTGGTGACAATGGAAGAGTGTTTATAATGCTTCACCTTGTGGGGGGAAAACAAGTTCATTAACAGTTGACTCTGGCTAATCTTCTGTTTGCTCGTTCTGGATTCCACTTGTAAGCTCCTGGGCTTTCTCTCTCTTCATAAACAGTGGAAACCAAGACAGCTGTGGCTCTATAGCAAAATATCCCTGTGCTGTGCAGTAGATAAATAAGAAAATAGGACTCATCATATGTGCTATATATGGTTCATGTGTACACATTATAAATCTGTGTCCTCTCTCTTGTGTTCAGTTATATATCCTTTGGATTTCTTGAGCTTCTTTCTGCCTACCTTGCCAGTATAGTTGGCTCTGGTTTTTATTGTGGATCTAGGTCTTTTTTGTGTGTTACTGTTATGCTGCCAGGGATTTTCATACATTTGTCATGTGTTGCTCTGACTTGATACTTCTGCTGCAGAATTGGTTTCAGCTGTAAAGGGATAAAAACCACAAAAGTTAAATTCTTGCTCTGTGAGCAGAAAGTTTTATTTATTTTGGAGTGCACTGTCCTATAGAAGGATATTTATACAAAGCTTTTTTAGGACTTTTATTAGGAAAGGGTTGTGTTGAGAAAGCAAACTTCTTAAACTCTGTCTCTCCAGGATGTGCTGATGTAGTTTATAGTTCTTCAAAATCAAGTACTTGAGTAATTGTGTTGTTGACCATCTTCACTGACAAACCATGTTAATTGTGACACACTCGGTTGTTTTTTCGGCATTGAACTATTAGCTTAGAGATGTTTTCCAGACAGTTCCTCTACTGCCAATTAGCAGTTAATCTATTTTAACAGAAAAATACTTGGGGCTGGATTTGGGTGACGGCCGTGGCTTTATTTGGGTGACAAAGCTCAGAGCTCCCACGAGATGGCGCCCGCTCTCCTGCAGGGGAAGGACCGGGCTGGCTGCAGCCTGGGGTTCAGCCCGGTGTGAATCCATCAGCCTTGGGAAGGGGCAGCTGCGCTCAGGAAAGCTCCTGATTGCTGCCGGCAGAACTTTTAAACTCCCTTTGATGCTGCCTGCATCCACTCACCGCCTCCCTGCCCGGTACTCCGGGCTGTACCTTGGTATGAAAATGGCTTGTGCAGGTTTCTCTAATGGAATACAAAGCTGTTTCTCTAGCAGACTTTGTAAACTTCATGTTTACACCATATATTCTTAATTTTGTGTTGTTTCATAGGAGTTCTTCACAGCCTGGTTCTTTTCTCCCCACCCCAAGCCTTCGAATTGCATTTTCAGAGCAGTGCTGTTGTTGTTCTGCCTTTCCCTTCTGCAGCATTTAGAGGATGCCCAAATAAAAAATGAGGGTGCTTGTTCTGTGAGCTATTAATCTAAATAAGCCTCTTTTGCTGCTGTTTGTCTGTGTTTGGTTGATATTGTTTTTGTCCTCTAATGAATTTAGCAACTGATTTGCTATCCATAAATAGATATACCCTGGAGTACTGAATGATGGAAAAAGATGTGCATCAGGTATTTGTTAAAGCTGAGGCAGTAACTCAGATACTGAAGGTACTGATAGCCACTGATAGCAGCTGACAAGGTTTAAATTTGTCTTTGTGTTATTCCATAAGTGGCAGAAGATTGCAAGCTTTGAAAGGTTGGAGTTTGGCTGAAGAGTCATACAAGTGGGTGAAGGCTGCCAGGTGGATCACAAACAACAGCTTCAGAGGAATTTTAGTCCAAGCTTTTTTTCTTTTTTGAGGTAATAAAAAGTAGTGTGTGATACACGGTTTGTTTTTTTTCCTATATTGTTTCGTGGTTTTTTAATGGAAGTAATGAGTATAAAGTTTTTACAGATTCATCTGCTGGGTTCAAAGATCTTTGTATACACAGCAGAGTTATTTTATATTGGTGATCAAATATATTGATCATGGCCTATTTAAGTCAGTGTTTCTTTTTTGCAGCACTGTTTTCTTTTTCCAGTGGTACTGTCAGCTCAGGCTTGGTGTTCATGTGTAGGAAAAAACAAAAGATTTTGTTCATATAACTTTTCAGAATAATTTTGGCTTTTTCCACAGTAAGGATCTCAGTTGTCCTTTTCTGATGGGCCATGGAATACAGTGTGGAAATTAGAGGTGGAGCTGATGTATCAGAAAGAGAAATGTGCTTGGACTCTTGTGTGGAGCTCAGACACTCTGCTCATGGGCTTGGGTGTTCTGAGTCACATCCCACTGCAGTTCTTGTGTCAGGCAGGTCCTGGCCCCCTGTGCTGGTGGGGTGAGGCTGACCCAGAGACATTTGGGGTTCCCTGGGTTTGGGGAGTGCCCACAGAGCCCTCTGGGGTGAGTGCAGGTGGCTGCAGCAGTGCCATCTCCTGGAGCTGCTGTGCCTGTCTGGGGAGCTCACTGGCCAGGCCAGGCCTGCCAAGGGAATGCAGTTTGGCAGAATTTGGGCCAGTGGTGGAGCTGCCAGCTGCAGACAGCAGACACTGAGCTGCTGACCTGTCGCCTCGAGCCAAAGAAGTGAACCTGGGAATGCTGACCTGGTTTTCTTTCTGAAACATCTGTGAGCTGGCTGCCTGACAAATCTTGGGGACTAACTTCCTGCAGTGTCTGAGACCAATTAAGAGAGGAGATAGTGTGAATGTGTATGCATTTCCTCTCTAAGAAAGGGTTTAATTAAGTGGCAAGCATCTCTATTTAGTACAGTGGTTTGCACAGTTGTAGTTCATAATTACCCAGGTGCTACACTCAGTACGGGAAGTCCTTCTATGCACATTCTGCTTTGGGAGCTGGGGGAAGGGAGGGGAGAGAGGGAAAGGGAATCGGATTTCTTGATTCTGCATTTAGTGGTGGATTAGTGCTCTTTTTTTTCAGTGAATAGAAGAAAAAGGAGAATATTTGAGTTCTCTACTTTCCTTTTTGAATCTTGATTAACTATGCTTAGCTACTGTGCACTCTCTTCCATCCAAGGCATTGAATATCTTTGCAGTAGTGAATGAGGCTCATAATCTTTTCCTTTCTCACAAGATA